TAAATTGTAAACTGAATGGTGAATAAAACCTGTGTTTTCTTTGCTCTGTAGGGTAAATTGCAGTTGCTGCTTGCTCTCCATCCACAGCTTCCTGTTTCTACTTTGTCATTAAATTCCTTTAATCCTGCAACAACTGGGCTCTGTCTTGGAAACTGCCTTTTTGGTCTCGCCTCTTAGAGACAATGGCTTTTCAGCTACTTTGAGCATGAGAAAAGGCTCATTGCCTCTGCCTGGAACTTTGGGAAACTGGTTGGCTCTGTGATTCATCAGAAATAAGAAAAACAAACACTGTAAATGGAGAACTTGGAAAACAGGTGGGCACCATCTCTTTACCCACGAGAAAGAGTTTAAGAGAAAATTTGTTTATGGGATGGGGCTTTAAAAGGCGACCTGGGGAATTTAGTACAGACGTAAATAAACAACTCTTCCTTGGATTGCATTAGTCTTCAGAATAAATATATTAACCAACTTCAGTCAAATTCTCTCTAGAATCTGACCTTGACAAGACCCAGTGCCCTCTGGTTGCTGCTCCTGTCCCTCCCCATAACAGCAGGCAGTTTCTCTCTGGCCGCTTACCCCAAATCAGGCAGACCCTTCTCTCCCAAGAACTGAAGGTAAACAGAAGCCTCTTAGGATTCCTCAGAGCTGCAGGGCCAACCCGGCGAAAAACGCAGTCAGTAGACACCAATTTTGCCTTTTTACTCTATAGTCATCCGGTCCCAGATCCAAACACTCTTCTGTGACACCCCCAGTAAGGGGGGGGGGTGAACTGTGCCTCTGCCACAATAGCCCAGGTCTGTACTCACTTCCCTTTAAGTGTAGACACAAATTTGCCCAGACCCCATGGACCTCCTGGGCCCCAGCAGGCAGGCAGAAGGAAAAGTTTGGCTCCCTGGGTCCTCTCTCCACACCCGAGGGTTCGAGTTTTCCCTGCCTTCTATCTTTCTATTTGTCCCTCTCCTGCCCCAGTCTTCTTTGTGAAGCATTTCTTGAGTGTGATTTAAATAATTATCATTTAAATATCTTAGTACAGACCACTACTTACCAGTCTAGCAAGGCAAGGGTTAAAGTGATACTGAGGGGAGGTTCAGTAAAGCATTTCATAGTACTTGGAAGAAAGTTTTTTGTTTTGTTTTGTTTTTTAATTCTTACATCAGTAGCTTTGGCAGACTAAGCCAACCATGTTCAAAATTATTTTTTTAATAGCTACTAAATCACATTCTTGGTACAGGGGTGTCAGTGGGATAGGGGCCTCTACACCTCAATGGGGCAAAACAGTAGAGCTACTCCTGTAGGTGCAGGAGCTGGAGAACCAGTGACCCCACCCTTGCTCATCACTTCAAAGGGTGAACTAGCTGGAGCAAAGCTGGAGAACTCACCCTGGTGCTGAAGACAGGAGAGAGCTGACCAGATGACCAACAGTGCAACTACTCTGACCCAGAACCAGGGCTAATTGTCGGCCCACCCCAACACCCACCCCATCTGTGATCTTCTGGAAGGAGAGGGAGTCTTGTGGACCCAGGGCTACAAGATCTCCACAGCACAGGGCAGCAAAGGGATGTCCAGGAAGAGTCCCTGTGAGGGTCCAGTGTCAGTAGTGTAGCAGAGACGAGGGGCCTCTAGCCAATGATTCCGTGAAATGAATGTCTGCATGTAAAGATGTACAGATAAAGGGGTTTACTGCATGACCCCCTGTGTTACATTGCAGTTTCCATGACAAGAGTTTCCCTTTCTCCCCATCTCTTTTTTTTTCTTTTTTTTAAACTTAAATTTTGATTTGTTTTATTTGGGGAGGTGTTAAAGGGGCAGAGGGTGGAGGCAATGGTATGGAAGATGCATGGATGGGCTCGCATGATGTGAAAGGCACAAAGAACAAATAAGAAAGAAAGTTAAGGGGAGCCACCTTAGAGTTGGCAAGAGACTTGAACCTAGAGTGGCTCCCAGATGCCCAAGCCAAGGTCCCCAGTTAGTTCCTTGGGCAGCTGAAGATAGGGAACCTGAAATGACCCTATCCTATAGCAATACTGACGAATATCTTGCATATCATCATAGAACCTTCATCTGGTGATGGATGGAGATAGAGACAGAGACCCACACTGGAGCTCTGGACTGAGCTCCCAAGGTCCCAATGAGGAGCAGAAGGAGGGAGAACATGAGCAAAGAAGTCGGGACCACGAGGGGTGCACCCACCCACTGAGACAGTGGAGCTGATCTATTGGTAGCTCACCAAGGCCAGCTGGACTGTGACTGAAAAAGCATGGGATAAAACTGGACTCTCTGAGCATGGCGAACAATGAGGGCTGATGAGAACCCAAGGACAATGGCACGGGGTTTTGAACCTACGTAATGTGCTGGCTTTGTGGGAGCCTAGCCAGTTTGGATGTTCACCTTCCTAGGAATGGACGGAGAGGGGAGGACCTAGGACTTACCACAGGGCAGGGAACCCTGACTGCTCTTTGGACTGGAGAGGGAGAGGGAGAGGAGTGGGAGGAGGGGGAGAAGGGTGGGAGGAGGGGGAGGGAAATGGGAGGCTGGGAGGAGGTGGAAACTTGTTTTATTTTTTTCTCCTTTTCTCAATAAAAAAATGGAAAAAAAAGAAAGAAAGAAAGTTAAATGACTTTCCTCCTTATGAGAAGGGCTGTTCTTTGTTCTGAAAGACTTATAAACGCCCCAGTCTTTAGCTCTATAAAATGACATGATTCTTTTTATTTAGCAGAAAATAAAAATGAGTTTCAGAATGGGCAAGTTCATAGATATAAAGTGATAGGCACCCATACATAAGTCTGTATGATTTTAAATGCATATCTTTTCTCTTCTGCCATTCTTTTTCCTGTTATTTTCTCTAAAGCTTGGTGGTAGATTGTGGGGGAGGGTTATAGATCCTTCATAGTTTCCCCCCTTTTATTGTAAGGCAGGGGGGCATGAAGCATTTTGGCAGAAAGCTATCTAACCTCTTGTGAAACTTATTATTACCTAAAGGTGTCAGGGGGAATACATCCATCAAGCAGCCTCTGACGTTTCAAGTAACACAATCCTTCAGAGTTACCCTAAACCTTCATGGAGTGTTTACCACATGCCAGGCTGTTCCAGACTCTTCTCATTGTGTTCTATTTCACCTTCACGGGCGCTGTGAGGTAGTACTGGTATTTCCTCATATTTATACACAAGTGAAGAAACAGATTTAGAGATAAGGAACAGAGTAAGGCTGAACCCAGCTAGTCTATTCCATATGTCCTCATCTACTACAAAGAAAAGTTGGTGTTTTTGGACATCAGCTGCAACATAAAGCATCTGTAACACAAAGATTAAGATTTACTATGATAAACATTTTTGTTCATAAAATTTGTAAGTCTTATTACTTCTTGAATCAAACTTAAGAAAATAGAAGTACTGGGAGTAAGACAGTACTATTGTACATTAATTTTTGCTGGTATTCTATGTCATTGGATATTTGACTTCATTTAAGCTTAGCTGTTTAGAGAGACACACATTGTCTGCCCAATCACTACTAGATTTTCATCTGCTCAGTATATGAGCAGAATCAGATGTGTGAAAAAAGGAAAGAGATTGCCTTACATGGGTCTGAAGCCTGGAACTCAACCATTTGCTAAGTGAAGATGATCTTCTTTTGGTAACATGTGAATAATAATGACTACCTCAGATGACTGTGGTAAGGGTTTAATTAAACTAATAATTGTCAAATGCTCAATATTATGCCAAAGAAAGCATCAAATAAGAAACAGATACTAATATCAATGTTGTTACTGTTATTTTAAACTTTATAAATAAAAACAGAATTTTAACGAGAAAACATCTGTAAACCAAAACTGTATATAGTGCAGTTAGCCCAGTGAACCACACAGCCCAACAGAGTGCACCTTCAGCATGCTCAAACCCTTACAGTTGGCTTTCTGTTAGGCAAAAGTTTACATTATAGTATTAAATATCTTCCGTGATTTATTGGGCAATATACTGAAGAGACAAGGAACAGTGTAGTTTTTTCATGCCTACAAAAAAGTGGGAAGTATTAAACTTAGGATTATATAACAGAGTTCCTCAGCTGTTGCTGCTCATCAGATGTGGATGACACATTGTTAATGTTGGTTTCCCTGATAGGAGGGAGAGGCACATGTTTAATAGAAATATCAGAACTGAAGTAGTACTTTTGAATGTACCCCCACGGAAACCCTTATCTGACTTCTGGAGAATTTAGCACAAGCAACATTTTTAACCTTTTGATTTTGTTTAAAGGGGATCTTAGTGCTGAAGAGCTGGTGAAGTATTACTGGGTTGTAAAACAGGCATTGTTCTTCTGTTTCTAAAGTGATAGACACCATATGTAGGTCTCTATGGTTTTAAATAGATATGTCTTCTTTCTTGTGCCATTCCCTTTCCCCCTGTTATTTTCTTCTGTTTGAAGATAATTTTGTTTGGAAAAAAAAAAGACTCTTCGTAGTTCTCCTTTGTTGTTAAAACACAGAGGCCCTGAAGTTTTGGGCAGTGTGCTTCATGAGAGCAGAGTGTGCGATGATTGCTATTTGATTTGGGTTAGTGAATGTGGCTAAAATGCAGTCACCATGCTGAATTCTAAAAGGGTAAATTTTAAAAATCAGATTGTTGGAACAAAAGATACTAATGCTAATGATAAGAGTTACATGTCTTGGGCCTGGAGAGATGCCTCAGTAGCTAAGTGTAAATACAGCTCCGGGGTGATCTGGTGCTCTGCTCTGCATGGGCACCTAAGCTTATGTACAAACACACACACACACACACACACACACACACACTATATATATATATATATATATATATATATATATATATATATATATAGACAGACAGATAGATGATAAGGAACAGAGTAAGGCTAAACCCAGCTAGTCTATATATATATATATATATATATATATATATATATATATATATATATATATGAGTTGCATATCTCCAAGGCTTCTGGATTAGATCATCAAATAAATAACTAGCAGGGAGTTGGGCACCTGAAACTCCAGCATGGTCTTCCCCATGTTTGACTCCAACATGTAGTGATATGCTCCGACACTCGTGCTGGGGTCGTCTGCATCATCTAAAGTGCCCTTGGGAAGGAAATCAAACAAAGAAACAAAATGTCAATAATAATTCCTTCCCTTCTTTGAATGAGTAGGACCTAATCCTATTATTGGCCTAAAGGTTCTGGATAAAATACTTAATCTCATTTACAATGACTCAAGTAACAAGTGTTTTATAATCAGCTTAAATGTGACTTTTGCTTAAAATGCTAGCAGATTGTAGAACCACTGATAGAATAATAATCCCAAAGCAGAAATTCCCTTTTCTTCTTTTAGGATATTTTGTCAGTGATGCTTTAATGCTTATGTGGCTGTTCTCCATGACTGTCACTGTGGTTTACTGGAATCTTACAACATTGATCTTATCCTGATTTCAGGTAAGACTGCATAATAGAAATTGAAAGAACTTTACAGGCGTGTGGCCCATTCCTTCCTGCCTGCCTGATTCTTAAAGGGAAGTTTTCATAATAAGCTGTTGCTGACTGCATGAGTATTGGTTTGTATACATTTTAATATATATATATATATATATTTAAGAAGCAAGGTAGGTGACAGGTAGAAATGAGATTCTCTTTAGCTTGGTTGCGAGGAACAACACTAAGCAGCAAACCCAAGCTCTGGAATGGTATTCAGGCTTCCTTCAGTATCCCATGACCTTGGATTCCCAGGATGGTGAGCAATAGCCGCGTTGTGAGACTGCACAAACAGCTGTCAACATCAGGCAGCAGGAGATGTATAGCTTCAAATGCAATAACATTAACACACTGCTCCTGAAATATTTACGTTGGCCTTTTAAAATATCCTAGGGGAAATCCATCCAGAAGCCTGCAAGCCACACATATCTCTCGCTTTAGAAATTTCCACCAAAAAATGACAAATTACATTTACATTGAGGGCCCTTCCTTGCTCCTAAGTAAATTCCACATGTATATAAATCAGGCATCATTTTCCTAACTTCTCTTCCTCAAAGGCACTTGAATTTACAGGGCCAGAAAAAAAAAAGCTTGCTTTTATGTTCAGAGCAGATATAGTACAGACCTCCCCACTTTCTCCCAGCTAGGCTACTAGTCCCACTGTCCTGCTGCCCCAGCTCTTCTCCGAGTGATAAGGCAAAAGGACCCCTAACAGTCTCATCATCTCCTTCATGAGCTGCTGGGCAGTAAAGACAGAGACTGTCACTTCAGCTCAGGAAGAAAAACAAAGGGAGGGGATGCTGGCACAAAGGCTTTTAATCCCAGGACTCGCTCAGGAGGCAGAAGCAGGAAGATTTCTATGAGTCTGAAGCCAGCCTGGTTTACATAAGTGAGTTTCAGTAGCATCATGACTACATAGTATGACCCTGTCTAAAGAAAAGGGGTGGGGGACAAGAAACAGAAGAAAAGGGACAATGTTTGCCCTCTTCTATGATTCAAACACTCACAGAGAAACATCTGCTATACGTGGGGTTCAGGGTGGCTTACAGTTGGAGATACTGGACAGGAATTCTCAACCATTTATTGGACAAATAAATATCTAGTACTGCATTGCTGAGAAATTTTCCTATTTAAATTTCTAAGGCACATTTTGTTGTTTTCATTTATCTTTCAAAGCATTTAATTGTATCTGTCATGGAAAGTTTCAAAGATTACCAGAAGATGTAAACCGCTAGAAACCATGATTATTGAACACACAGAGCTGTCAAAGCAGGCCATAATTTCTTACACTATCATCTGCAAGGCTGCCTACTGGCTGGGGAATTATTATTTACAGAAAGAAGAACTTAAAATATTTAGCATAATTAGTTAAGTTTGGAGAAATTAGAGCTAATTTATTACTAGATTATAAATCATTTTTCAACTGCATACATTTTTGGACCCTGAAAAATATCTATAACCCTCAAAAAGCAAACATTGAAATCAGTGTGATCATGTGATCTTCCTCAGTCTGAAAGTTAATCGATTTTGATCCTGGCATATCAAGAGTATTAACAAGATACACAGTGGGGAACCACTTTCACCTTCGTGATTTCTAACCTAAAAATTCATTTTGCTAAACTTTAATGAGTAGATGGGCAAAAATTTAACCTGAATATTGTTGAAATGGGGAATTTGCTGACTTTGGTATTTCCCAAGATTCAAGTGTTCTCATGTTCCCACCTCTCGCCTCCCTTAGGTACTCACACTGGTGGAGGCTACTGCTTCCTGAACACTCTCCATGATGAATTCCTTGGTGATCCTTCGGGAGGGCAGCTCATTGAAGAGAGAGTTGATGAGCGCCACTTTAGCGGCATCCCGCCTGGCCTCAGCTCTACTTAAGCAGCACTTGAGGAGAAAGGAGAGGCAGTTATTAGAGAAGTCAGCATCTTACCATTCCAACACTGCAGCCGCGGACCTCTGTGCACTTCTGCCGCACACATTTACATGGGCTCTCTCTGTGCCTCAATGTCCTTCTTAGTGAAATAATAGTAGCATTGAAGTTGAAATTGATTAATTGATATAAAAAAGCACCAAGAATGGTTATGATACATCACCATGGTCCCTGAAAGAATGTCAGTCACATTTACCATTATGATGGTTCTAAGAATATATATGTTAGTGAAAGGATACTACTGTCAGTACATATTGTTTTTAACTTTTCCAGCGTTTGTTCCCCACCTTTCTTCTAGCAATAGTTCCCTAATTTACTTGAGGATTGCCCTTTATACTTTGCTCATATATAGTTTGTGTAGAAATCAAAACCATTTGGTTTTCCAAAGTTAGGGGCCACAGACTGTATATGCTCAGTAACTTATTAAATTCATTATATTTCAAGCCTGAGGCATGTTGACAACTCCTTGTAATCCCAGTACTTTCAAGGCTGAAGTTATGATACTTTGAGGCAAACCTAGGCTAGCGAGGCACTGTAGAGCTTTATTTAGCTCAGTTGTAGAGTACTTGCTTAGAATGCACAAGGCCCTGGGTTTGAATCCCAATACTTTTAAATATTTTTTCCAGTGCTCCCAGTGTAATATTAGTCTCTGTCCTCCAAGCCTGATTCCCTCATTGTTCACATGGGCTTGCCCGAGTATCTCGCTTCCATTCAGTTCATTCTCTCTCTTTTCCTAATACTTAAAAGTTCCCAATCTTTGAGTTGAGGTAGAAGTCCTATAAGAGCTAGAATAAAGCCATACCTTAAGAGCATTTAAGAAATGATAACTGCTCTCCAAGAGGCTCCTATGAACACAGAGCTATAGACACTAAGGTTCTAGTAGGAAACTACTCTTGTGAAAAGAAGTCCAGGCCCAAGACAAGTCAATGGGGTAGCCAGGGAGCCCAGGCTTGTAAGATCTAGTCCACCTGAGTTTGGGGGGCTATTTCCTTATACAGAGCTTCTACTACCTAAATGTGAGGCTTTCAGAAACATGACTATAAATAGTGTGAAAGGGTAAGAAAAGTATTGAGGGCCTCACTTCATTTTTCAGTTCCATAGTCTCAAATTCTTGTGTGCTTTCACACTCTACCCCACACTGACCTTTCTGCCCTGTCCCCAGGTGCTTGAATACAACCTTGTATCATTTAGAGCCCACTTCCACAAACCCAGGTTAAATCCCTGAGATCAGGTTCCCAGTCTCCAAACCTTCCAAATATCATGAATACTCTAGTGTAAGAATCATGTAGGTAACAACTGATCACTTCTTTTAACTTCTCCCCCAATTTTTTTTTTTGGTATTTTTGCATGCTTCTTCAATAGTCATTATAACATCTAAACCAGGATCAGTGCTTTGATTTGAGATGCTTGTGTACTATCAGGGCATGGGAAAGATAGTATTCATAAAGACTTTTAAAACAGTGGGACAAGATGTGAGTGTGTGTGTGTGTGTGTGTGTGTGTGTGTGTGTGTGAGAGAGAGAGAGAGAGAGAGAGAGAGAGAGAGAGAGAGAGAGAGATACAGACAGACAGACCAGGGACAGAGGAAGTTTAAGTTCCAGTAGCATCAGTTTACTTGAATGTAATTATTTGCTGGTCTTTTGCCTGTTGTCTCCTCCTGCATGCCCTAATTGTTAGATAATTTTCTTTGTGTTCATAACCTATTATATAATTTTTTTGCATCCCTTCCTATTACAATTTACTGAATGAATAACAGGCTGACACATAGGAAACTTGGTAGAAAATCAATAAAACACCTGAAAAATGTGCAAGAAATTCTTTCAAGAATAAATATATACACTACTTTTTCTTTAAAAGTACTATTTTATATACTTTATATGGTATTTTAATTCGGCAGTATGAAAATATATTAAGCCTGAACTAATATTCATAAGGATAACTGGATTTAGACTCTGACATGAACATTTTTCTCAATACGTAAGTTATATTTATTATTCTTTGAAAAGAATAAACTCCTATTAAAAAGAAAAGGTTTTGCCAATATTACACAACGTCTATAACAGCAGCTCATTTTAATAGCAGTTTTACTTTGCAAAATCTACAACAGAGTTTTGGGAATTTAGAATTTAGGGAATAAGATACGGGTCAGGGTACTCTTAAACTCTTAGGAAATATCTTTGTCTAAATAATAGCAATTTAAGACAACTTTCGGGGGGGGGCGAGAGACAAAGTAAACACTGCATAGTTAAAAGAAGCAATCTATTTAAGTAAGAACAGCTAAGTACTAGATCAAAGGCAGCATGTCCATTTACAGCCATGGTACTGTCTCACAGATCAAAGAATAGCCAGCCAGGCAGGCAACAGACAGGGCCTTTACCAGGGAAGCATGGAAGAGGAAGGTGGGAGACTCAGCTAATCTCAAGATGTAAAAGCAGACACCTGTCTTTACTTATTTTATTGTTTCAGGGTATTGGAGGGTTTTTTTCCCCTTCCAATGGGGAGAAAGTGTGCCTGTTAATAAGTACATAAAATAAAATCAGTTCTGAGACATCAAAGAACTTTTCTTCATATTGCTCTTTATATATCTGAATGACAATCACTTCAGAATGAATGTCTATAATGTCAGCCAGCTGCTTTCTTCTGAAACTACAAATCCAAGCCAGTAAAACTGCTGCCTGTTTTGCTTTTTAGAGGTTTAAGGAGAACCTTTCACCCATAGGAACATATACTTGGCCAAGCAATTTAGCTCATTTGCAGTCTGCTTGGAATATCAAAATAACAGTCTGGATGCTCCTATAAGAACACACACCTTCACAGTCATCACCAAACAATGGGAACTGTAAAGAAATAAATATGGCAAGTTAAAGGGCATTTTATTGTTTCCAAACTGGTCATCAAGGACATCAGATGGGAGTAAGTAAAGAATGATGCTATTTCAAAGCAGCTTCCAACTAGAATTAGACTTCACTGTATGGTTTACTCTTGCCATTTTTTTCCCCAGACCTCATCATAAATACAAATCTGTAAACTGTACCTTATGTGCTGACCATTCTTACTTGCTAACACACAGAGACAGCTTTCACCCTTTGCATTCTATGAAAGTTCTGAGCTTGAATATTAAACAGTCAAAATCTTTAGCAAAGTCAGCCGTGGACTTCTTAGGCATGTGAACTAGATGCTTTGTGAGCGGCCAGCAGACCCCACCAGATATTTCTCTTGCTACTCAGGTGTCTTTTATTTGTTAGTAGATTATAAACTATTATAATCATTAATGCCTTCTAATAATAAAGCAAAAATGAAAATATTCTCTTCCCTGATAACCCTTCTTCTGCAAAAAAACCCCCACCCACTCCCCCCCAAAAAAATCCACACAGAATGCTGTAATGCTTGGGAACGCAATTTAAAGGCAATGGTGAGTCAAAAAGAAAATGCCCTCAGTGGTCCATTCCTTTTCCCAGCATTCACGTCTTCACCGAAGTCTCTCGACTCTGTAGGAGTGTTAGTCAATGGAACATGGCAGAAGTGATAGTATATTTCTGTAATATTGGTTTATAAAGACCCCGTTTGCCTTTTCTCTGCTTACCTTCATGAAGAAAAGTTAGCTGATGTATTTAAGCAACCCTATGGAAAGGCACACATGACCAAGAAAATGCCTGGGGTCAATAGCCATCTTGGTGGGGTTGAAGGATACCCAATCCAATCTTTAGATGACAGCTTGACTACCACCTTCAGCAGATGGGGCGCCAGAAATGCCCAGATTCCAGAGTCCTGAACATGTGTGTAAGTTTTGAAACAATTTATTATACAACAAAAGATAACTATTACAGAGTCTTCATTTGCACTTTTGGGAGAGAGCTCCGTGTCTGAGATCTTATTGCTGACCCTCAGTGCTTTGGTCCTGTGCTAAGCATTTTACGGTTAATATCATGTCTAGTTATCACAACAATTCTATGAGGTTGGTTTTATTATTACTCTTATTTTATAATTGTGGAAGCATAGACTTTATAAAGGTTATGCACCCCAAGGTTATGGGATTTAAAAAAATAAACAAATAAATATTCTCTCTCAAGTATATCTAACCAGTAGTTTATTTTGTACTTCATAAGAATCCTAACTCAAATCTTCAGATGAGTGAGTCACTGTGAACATTATGCATGGTTGTGTTCTGTGTGGGGGCTACTGATTTCAGGCACATTTGTATTATGGAACAGGCCTGGAGAACAATCTATGGGAGAATTCATTTAGAGGAAAGTGGAAAGTTTAGGGAGTTGGTTCTTCCTTCTACCGTAGGTACCAGAGAGTCAACATCTTGGAAGCAGTTTTATCTGTTGCGCCATCTTGCTGACCAGCCTTCCACCTTATTTTTATGGGACAGGATCTTTCGCTAACTCTGAGATCACCAATTAGTTAGATTAACTTGCCAGCAAGCTCAAGGACCCAGTACACTAGGATCATAGGCACATGTCTCTATGCCTAGCTTTTTTTATGTGAGTGATGGGGTTCAAACTCATAACCTTATGCTTGTACAAGAAAACTTTATCCACTGACCTAGTACACCAGCTCCCAGATATGCATTTAAATAAACCTTCCAGGTGAATCTGAAGACCCTAGACCTGTTCTTAGAAGAAAAACAATGTAAAAAATTCCAAGTAAAATGTGTTAACATTATGCTTTCAGCCAGTCTATGTAGAAGCTTTTTTTTTGTCTTTATGATAAATCTGCATTGTGAACATAAAACAATGGTAGTTTCTCAATAGAGGAACTGTTTCTATCTAAGAATTAAGCTAAAAAAAAAATCAGGTTAAAAAGCCCTTTGATAACTCTCCTAAAGTTGCTGGCTTTTCTAAATTACATTGAAGTTCTGCTTTTTATTTCTTCTGTGATAAACTATACACTGTTAAGATGTAAACAAGATTAATTTGTAGATTGCTCACAAATTAAATAGTAGCTATTCA